AGGGTAGTTATTAGTGGTTTGTAAGTTTGGGCTTCCCTTAATCCTGAGAGAGAAACCAGAGAGGAGAACCAGCCGTCCTGGAGTCCTTTGGTGTGATTAGAATCCCTGTGGGACCAGGTGCATGGCTTTGGTGACAGGGAGCATCCACTCCTCATTCCTTCCTTCTTCCCAGTCCTCCTCTTCTGGAATAGAGATTTCCATGATGGTTACTCCACTCTGCTCAGATGGCTGCACTTATCTCTTGAGTTCTGTTACTGCTGGGTTCACGTGGCCCCTTGGCCACACAGTGGCTGTTCCTGGTGCTGGGGACTGGAGGAGCTCACTGTGTGCTAATGGATGGGCACGAAGTGGCTGCTCTCTGAGTTCCTGCACTCTGTGCTGGCGGTGCACACTGGCAGCTTGTGCTGTGACCTCTGTGGATGCTGTTGAAGTGCTTGCTTTGGTGCTCAGGTGAGCTCCACCTCTGTGTCAGCATTAGGCAGGGACTTCTGCTTATTCAGTACAGAGAGGCAAGTGTTTGGTTGGAGGGTGTTCACAGTCCGTGCTCCCCGTGCTGTTGTTCCTTGTGCTGAGAGCTGAAGTCTGGCTGCAGTGTGTCTCCTTTCCCCAAGACATTTAACTGATTTAATTATGTCCTTTGAGTTATTTTCTGCATGAGGCTTTGGGATTCTCGTCACGGAGGAGACCCCATAAATATGCATTGTATGTTCTGCAGTCAGGGATCCGTCCGGAGCGCAGCTGGATCCAGTGTGCTGAGATCCCCCAGCCCTCCGTCACCTGCAGGAGGGGGGTGGGAGGGGGCTGTTGTGGCCATGAGGAACTGAAAGGCATCAGCTGAAGAAGCTCTTGGGTGTAAGTGTTGATGGTTTTGAGCGCACACGTCTGATCTGGAGTTGATGTAATGTGGGGATGTGCACTTAGGTCCTATTCGAACCTATTTGGTGCAGGATTGTGCCACGCTCCCTAATTCTCAAAGCTCTGACCAACGCTGAAAACTGAGAAAGTGCTGGGGGTGCCTCAGCATTTCATTTTAGCACCGAACTCCACGTTGCTAACCACCAACCTCAGCCTCTCTCTCTGCTGGGAGTGGGGCTGCAGGCATCACTGGGCTGCGCTGTGTGCAGCTGTGGCTCATGGATGTCACCACCTGTGAAACAAGCTCAGAAAAACGCATGTGCTCTGGCCAGCAGTGTTCTATCAGCAGCAAATGTTACCGGTTCACAGATATACAACCCTGAAGGTGCCCAAGGCCATGGATGGGCTCTGGGCAGCCTGAGCTGGTTGGGGGGCACCCAGCCCATGGCAGGGGTTGGAGCTGGGTGGGCTTTAAGGCCCCCTCCAACCTCAGCCATTCCATGATTCTATGAAGTTGTTGAATTGGCAATCTGTATTTAATGTTGATATAGGCTGGATTTCGGATGGCAGCATGAACACATTAATTTCAGCCTCCCTGAAGGATATGAAAATGGTGTTAGGAGGGCCCGTGTCCTGCTGGAGCCCTGGAGGGTTTGTAGCCCATTGGAGTTAACTGGCAGCAGTGCTGAGCTTCGGAGGTGGGAACTTCTCTCGATTTCTTTTTATTCTCTGTGAAATGCCCCTCTCTCCCTTCCCCCTTTCTTCCCCTCACCCCTTTTCTCTTTATAAAGCTGGAATTCTTCCAGACTCTGCTCTGGGCTCGCAAGAAAACTTTACTGTGTAAATTTGCTCTTTGTGTTGGGAGCCCTTTGTTTAAACAGCATTGTGAGCTTGCTGGGGAGGGATGGAAAGAGGGGGAGCCGGGAGGAAGAATTTGAAAAGCCCTGACCCCTGATGAATAAAATCCAGCACATTAACACATTCTTCAATAAATTCATGATTGCAGATAAGGTGGGAGTCCCCAGGGCCGGGCTTTTCATTAACCCCCTGCTGGCTAACCCAAACAGACCGCGGGTTTTGTTAGCCACCA